CCCAGCTGGCCTGGAACTCTGTTAGGCAGGCTGCCCTCCTCACTGAAATCCACCTGGAACTCCTCCCAAGTTTGGGACTAATGGTGTGTGGACTACTCCTTGGCAAGACTTCGTTCCTTTCATTTCAATTATACATATGTGTGTTAGTATATATGTGAGTCCAAGTGCCTGTGGATCCTGGAAGAGGGTAGTGGATGCCCTTCAGCTGGCTGTGCATGGTTGTGCGCTGCCTGACATGGTCCTCTGTAAGAGTGGTATGTGCACCGAGCCTCTCCACCACCATCCCTCACTACTCATCTTTCACATTTGTTGTGGAATCAGCATGTATGAGAATTAGCCGTCCACCATTTTTAAATAGCTGCAGGAAATAATGCCGATTGCCACACGTAGAGTTGCTTGCTGTGCGTTTAGCTGCCCCTGTGCATTTTGGGTAGCTGTCCTGATGGCTGCTGTGCACGGTGAGCAAGCGGGAGCCATGTGCTTAGTCCAAGATGTAGCTGTTCATGGCTCCGGGGTCTTCCCCACCCCACAGGAATGCACCATGCCAATCGTCGATAAGCTGAAGGAGGCGCTCAAGCCTGGCCGCAAGGACTCGGCAGAGGATGGGGACCTAGGCAAGCTGCTGGCCGCCTCTGCCAAGAAGGTCCTTTTGCAGAGGATTGAGTTCGAACCAGCCAGCAAGAGCTTCTCTTACCAGCTGGAGTCCTTGAAGAGCAAATATGTGCTGCTGAACGCGAGGGCTGAGGAAGCTGGCCGCCACAGGAGCGGAGATGAGCCCCAGGCCAGGAGAGCAGGTACTGGGCCAGGTGCTGACCAGTGTGCAGCTGTTTTGGTGACTGGAGTAGTTCTGGGTTTCCAGGGCTCAGTGGGCTGTAGTAATAGATGCCATGACACAGGGCGAGTGGAAGGAAGTCTGTGTACTTGGACGTTCCTTGAGTGTGGCCTGCATCTTTAATGAGGTCAGAAAGTAGGTCCTGAGAAATGGCATGGCTGGTGAAAGCCCATGAGAGCTATGAGAGCCTGGCCACTCAGAGTCCGCAGCTTGAACCCACGTAAATGGCCAGACTTGTGTGCTACAGTACACCTGTGACCCCAACACACCTAGTGAGCTGTGAAGAGGAGACAGGACAATTGCCAGGAAGTCATGGACTGTCAGCCTGGAGCGTGCAGCCAGCAGGAAGAACAATAGGACACACTTGGCCTCACCGTGGGAGGGGAAGAATTGACACACACATGCCATCTTCCACTCATGGATACACCCATAATTAATTTGAGGAGAAAAGAAAATGGGAGTTGAAAATCTAGAAGTTGGGTAGGTTCTTGGTACATAAGAGTGGTGCAGAGCTAGTACCTGCTGCTGCTTCTTGCACACAGGGTTCTTGAGCTCCAGACTAGGCAATCTGGTAGGCTCCTGGGACGGCCTGGTCTCCTTTGTTCTCTCATTTCCTTCTTGTCTAGGCACTGAGCGCGTGTCTGGAGGTGATGGAGTCCCTGCCCCACAGAAGGTGCTCTTCCCCATGGAGCGGCTCTCCCTAAGGTGGGAGCGTGTTTTCCGTGTTGGCGCAGGGCTGCACAACCTGGGTAACACCTGCTTCCTGAACTCCACCATTCAGTGCTTGACCTACACACCGCCTCTGGCCAACTACTTGCTCTCCAAGGAGCATGCGCGGAGCTGTGAGTGGGGCTTACGGTGGGGCTGTGCTGTGAGTCATTGGGCCAGATGCTTTCCTGACTAACAGCAGCTGGATGAACCCGCTGTTCTGTCTGTGACATGCAGTGTGAAGTCAATGGGACTCCATGGGGATTCTGCCCATTGTAGGATGGGCCGCTCACGGGTCCACTCAGGCCGGGGCGGCTCTCTAGAGTACCTCTGCACTGTGTCTGCTCAGCTGTCTTATGTGTGTAATGAACCAGAATATTTAATATACACTGCAAAACATGCCCCAAAGTAGAAATTAAAAGTGGGTGAAAAGGCTGGTGCAGTGGCTTAGCAGCTTTCAATGTCTTGCTCCAGCTGAGGACCCCGATCTGATTCTTGGTGTCTACATGGTTTCTCGCATGGTCTGTCCTCTCCGAGCACCAGACATGCATGTGGTGCACATCTGTACTTGAAGACCAAGTGCTTACTCCTGTATATAAAGCTGCCTAAGAAATTGGGATGGAGAGATGGCCTACCAGCATGTACTGTTCTTCCAGAGGGCCCGAGGTCAGCTCCTAGCACCCATACTAAGTGGCTTCAGCTCCAGGGATGACACCCTTTCCTGACCTCTGTGGGCATGTACTCAGTCATGTGCACACGCGCACCACACAGACACATAATTAAAATAAAGGGCTGGAGAGATGCTTTGGTGGTTAAGAGCATTGGCTACTCTTCCAAAGGACCAGGGTTCAGTTTCCAGCACACACATGATGACTCACAAGTGTCTGTAGGTCCAGTTCCAGGGGACCTGTCCCCCTTCAGGTGATGGTACACACTGGGCGCAGACACATGCATGCAGACAAAATCCTTATGCCCATGAAATAATTAAAATCTTACATAGGAAATAAAAGTTATAAATGTTTAAAAGTTGAGTGAAGTAAACTACAATATCAAAACTAAATAAAATAGATGTGAATAATAGTGCTCATTAATAATGACTGTAATGCTGGGTTGGGGGATAGCTCAGGTGGGAGTGTGCTTGTGGTACATTGCTGGGGAGGCGGAGGCAGGCCCATGCCTGGGGTTCAAGCCAGTAAGAACCCTGTCTCAAAAGTTGGACCACTCCTGAGGAGCAAAACACAGACACAAGAAAGGTAGGCAGTGGATAAGAGCCCTTTGAGATGGGAGCAGCAAGACTCCACAGACTGGGATGATTTTATCAGAAGAGAGTTGTGAGACTTAGCAGGAGCTAGCTCATGACTTCAGCTGCAGTTCCAGTGAAGAGAAAAAGAACACTCAGTAGTTTACGCTGCAGGGGTTCTTAAACCTGGAGACAGGCAATATGAGAAAGAAGACCGCTGTCCCACCTTACTAACGAACTTGTTAAAGCCCAAGCAGCTTGGGCAGCGGTAGCAATTGTTTGGAGAAGCCTGGGTGCCTGTGGAGAGTGCAGGCTTTCTGTAGGAAAGCCTCCCGCAGATGCTGTGGGCTCAGCGTGCTGAAAGGGCCTCCCGCCTGTCTGTGGCCCAGTTCTGCAGCTAAGCAGCTGTGTCTTTACAATGTCCTACGACTCTCTTCTGCCTCCTGTCCCTGCTTTACAGAATCTTCCATACAGAATTATAAGGATGAAGTGAACTCTGTCAGGGGCTTGCTGTTGTATCACTTGGCACAGGGATGTCTAAAAAAATGGCTTGTTTTCCTATCTAGGTGGTCAGGTACTTACTGTATTGGTGGAGTAAAACAGTCACCTGAAAAAGTGGCCTCCCTGAAAATGGTGGTGATGACAACAAAATTCAGTGTAGTGACAGAGAGCTTTTCTTTTCTGATCGTGAGCAAAAGGACCAGCATTACAGACAGTAACCTTATAAGTGTGTGCTGTGAAGTACAGAAGCGCATGGGTGACGGACCACCTACCACCTCTGTGCAAGACTGTGCTAGCAAAGAACTTTGGTTTGGGTTGCTGTTCTGTTTGTTTGTTTGTTTTACGAGACAGGGTTTCTCTTTGTAGGCTTGGATTCCTAGAAAGAACTCACTTTGTAGACCAGGCTGCCTTCGAACTCACAGAGATCCACCTGCCTTTGCCTCCTGAGTGCTGGGATTACAGGCATGTGCCACCACACCCATCTGAGAACAACATTCTTTTTTTTTTTTTTTAAGATTTATTTATTTTTATTTTATGTGCATTGGTGTTTTGCCTGCATGTATATCAGTGAAGGTGCCAGATATCCTGGAACTGGAGTTTCAGACAGTTGTGACCTGCCATGTGGGTGCTGGGAATTGAACCCAGGTTTTCTGTGAAGAGCAGCTAGTGCTCTTAACCACTGAGCCATCTCTTCAGCCCTGAGAACAACATTCTTGTGCCCTGAAAACAGTATTCTAACCAGGAGCAGCAGCAAGGTCTTTTCATCCCAACTCTCAGGAGACAGAGGCAGATCTCTGTGAGTTCCAGGCCAGCCAGGACTATATTGTAAAATTCTCTCAAAAAAAAGGGAAAAAAAAGTATTCCTACATAGGTCACTAAACCCACATACATGTACATACGTTTTTTTAAGGAAAAAGTTTTGTCTAGCAAAAAAACAGCAACACCACGAGCCCACCCTCAGCCAGAGCGTAAGTAGTCTTGTGTAAGGGGGCCCAGTGGTTAGAGCACAGGCAGTTCTTGAGAGGATCTGGCAGTTCCCAGGACCCATGGTGACTCACAACCATGTATAACTTGATTTCCAGGGGATTTGATGCCCTCTTCTGACATCCGAGGGCAGCAGGCACACATGGTGCACAGACATACATGTAGGCCAAATATCTATTACACATAAAACAAAAGTAAATAAATGTCAGACAAGCAGTGCACATGAGTATAGTGGCTTCTGAACGAATCTTGCTAATATGATGTCCAGAGGATAAGAAAGTGAGAGAGTGTGCATGCATGTGTGTTTGTGTGTTCACATGCATGAACAGATACCAACACAGGCAGAGGAGTATGTTGATTGTCCATCACTCTCTACCTTAATTTTTGAGGCAGGTTTGCTCACTGAAGCAGGATATCTCTGGGCTAGGATGACGGGTCAACAAGCTCCTGGGATCAGTCTGCATGTCACCACTCTGTGATTATAGCCATTGGACATGAGTGTTGGGGTGTGAAACCAGGGCCTCTTGCTTTCGCAGCAGGTGCTCTTACCCAGCTACTTTAGAGAAAAATGAGAGGATGGCAGTCATAGGGAGGGAGGTGCTTAAATAGCAGTCAGGTCAGGCGGGGCCAGAGGCGAGTGGGGAATACAGGGACAGGGTAGCAGGAAGCTGGGGGGTGACTTCAGGGGCACTCTTCCTGAGAAGAGTGATTGTGGCCAGGGCAGCATCCTTGTCCAGCCTGTGTGGGGCCCTCCGAGGGCTGCTGAGAGTGTCCATAGCTGAGGAGCAGCTGGAGCTGCTGTAAGAGTCCTCAGGCCTGTGGTCTCGGTAGAAGATTCTCCTATCCAAGTTCAGCAGCGCCTCTGCTTTTTCTTGTCCTTTCTTTTCCTGTAGAGCTCTCTTCCATTTTTGATTTTGCTCCGTGGGAATCTTGCTTGTTTTTCTTTGTTTTGAGAGAGGGTTTCTCTGTATAGCCCTGGAACTTGCTCTGTAGACTGTTGGTGTACTTTTTAATTTATATTTCTTATTTTTTTCCTCCCTACTATACCTCAATCCCTCCATCACCCCAACATCAGGTGGAGAGAGAAAGGGTTAGTGGGAGAGGGGGCCCAGTTCTCTTAGCTGCTTCCTCTGGTCAGATTTAAACTATTTATAGCTGGCAAAGAGCCCTCTCAGCCTGCACGAGGCAAATAGTCTGCTGCTGTGGACCATCTGAATCAGTCCCATATCCTACATTTGGAATCAAAACAAAAACATGTTTACATTCACAACAGTAGACCAGGCTGGCCTCGAACTCACAAGAGATCTGCCTGCCTTTACCTTCAGAGTGCTGGGATTTAAGGCATGCACCACCTCCGCCCAGCCTCCACAGGAGTCTTTTTGAGCCATTTGTCAGCTTTGTGGATTGATTTAGTTAAATGTTGACATTTAACTAATGTTAAATGTTGGCAGCTCTGGGCCTGTCCTGTCCACCTGGGAGCCCAGTGTTGCTGTGGGCTGTTGATGCACTGTCTCCCATGCTGAGGAGAAATCACTGGGTTGGGTTGAATTTTGTGTGACAAGATTGTCGTGTACAGGGCTGTCTCTCGGAATCAAAAGTGTGCTTGGCAGGGCAGCTAGCAGCTAACGTGTGCTAGGTAACCAATATTCAGAGTTATAGCATCGTTTTACTAAATCAGTCCTCACCAAGCTGATGAATTCCTTTGGTCCCAGAACTTGTAGGTTGATCCCCTGGTGCACAAGGAGGCAGGCGTTAGGAAAGCAGACTGCAGGTATGTCGGATAGCCAGCATGCCTTGCTGAGCCCATTTACCCTGCCTGTGGTGATGTGCAGATGGTAGAGTGAGCACACAGATTGGATCAGACAGGCCTGCTGCAAGGTCAAGGACTTCATGAAGGATGAAGTGGGGAGTTTGTGGGGAGTTTGACCACAGTATCGGTGTGTCACTTAACAGACTGCCCGAAGCTTGGCGGAGAAGGGTTGGGTCATATTCCTTCTACATTTCTATTTAAAATAGTCAGAGTTTTAAAGGCAGGAATGTACCCCTTCTGGTGTAGTGTCTAATGAGAAAGTAGCCCATTCATAAAGAGCAGGAGGTAGGCCATCTGGCTCTTGGCTTGCTAGTCGGTAAGCTTCCGTTGAACTTCTCTAGGTTGTCACACATAGTCTGTGTTGCTTTTACCCTGCACTCGGAGTAGGGGTGTCACTGTGCATTCCCTGGAAATTGTTTGCCCTGAAGTTGCTTCTTACCCACTGCAGGTCACCAAGGAAGCTTCTGCATGCTGTGTGTCATGCAGAACCACATGGTCCAGGCCTTTGCCAACAGCGGCAACGCCATCAAGCCTGTCTCCTTCATCAGAGACCTGAAAAGTAAGAATGATATTTGGTTGAACATCTGCCAAGTGCTTCCTCTGCAGTTGGAGGAAGGAGGAGAAAAGCCATGATGGAAGTCTCAGGAATGAGCATGTGTGGAAGGTTCCACGCAACAGCATAGACACTTGGGCCCAGGGTTTCACTGAAGGGAGGCTTTCTGCCAGGCACCACTTGGAAGAATAGTTAGGTTTTAGCCAGGTGGTAGGCTGTGTTTGAAATCAGACAGGTGGCTGAGCACAAGAGCTGGGCAGAGTTGGGATGTGAATGTGGAAGGGCATCAGAGGGGCCAGCTGCTGTGTGCTGTGGAGACCCTGCTTTCTAGTAACAGAAGGGTTGAGCCTCCTGTCACTATAAGCTGTAGCACTGTGCCTTGATGTGTTGGCTCTTGGAAAAGTGGCCTCTGGCTGTTGACCACACAAAGTCATAACCCTTCTGTATCCCTTTCTTCTTCCTCCAGAGATTGCCCGGCACTTCCGATTTGGGAACCAAGAGGATGCACATGAATTCCTACGGTACACCATCGATGCGATGCAGAAGGCCTGCCTGAATGGCTATGCTAAGTATGTGCCTCAGTTCCCCACGTGCTCTCTGCCGAGGACACCTTCTCTACGCTGGGGCAGCACCACATTCTCATGCCCACTGCCCTACATCTCTACGCTGTCTGAGATGGCGGGAGTGTTGGCATCCAGGCTCCTGACCTTTGCTGCCCTGAGACCTGGACCACTTGGTTCTAGAAGCCAAGTTGAGGGAAGGGCTCTAGACTATCTTTAAAAGTTTATCTGTGAGCCAGGCATGGTGGAGCACACCTGTAATCCCAGCACTCAGGGAAGCAGAGACAGGTGGATCGCTGTGAGGCCAGCTTGGACTACAAAGTGGATCCAGGACAGCCAAGGCTACACAGAGGAACCCTATCTGGAAAACAGCAGGATTCCAGACGTGCACAGCACTTCACATGCACTGACCTCCCACATGAGAGAGTGGGCCGGGCCACTTCCCAGGGGTTACTCTTTGCAGCAGGTGCTGCATGGATGGGCTGCTGGTCATTCACAGAAGGTGGCCTTGGCCTACGAACTGGCCTTGCACTGGCGTCCTTCTGGAGTCTCTGTGGAAGGGGATCTGGCTGCTGGAGGTGGCTTCACCCGCCACCTTCTGCTGCCTCTCATCTCCAGGGTACAGTTCTGTGGTGTTGACTCTGCTCTGACATTTTTTCCACAGTTCTGGTCTCTGGTTGTTTTGTCAGTAGGCCCAGGCCAAGCCTTACTTGATCTGCTCTCTGAACACATTCTCCATCCTAGAAGGTTGTTCCTTTGTTTCTTTCTGCACTTCTTTTCTTCTTAAACAGAGTAATGGGTAGCCAAGACTAGTCTTGAACTCTTGGTCCTTTTGCCTGTGCTGGGATTATAGTGTGCACCTCCATGCCCAGATCCAGCTTTCTTGGGTGTTTTTTGTTTTTCTCTTTCTTTCCTTTTTAAGATTTCTTTTTTTATCATTTTTATGCCTGTGGCACGGGGTAGGAGTTCCCATGGAGGCCAGAGGAGTGTGTCAGGAGGGTGTCAGATTCCCTGGAGCTGGAGTTGTGAGCCACATGACATGGGTGCTGGGGACTGAACCAAGGTCAATAGCAGCCAAGCTCTTCTAACCACTTAGCCCTCTTCCAAACCAAAATGAGATGCATGTTTATCTTATTTTGTTGTTAGCACATGTTTGTTTATTTGAAGTCTTCTGTCAGGACATTTTTTCTATCTCTAAGTGTCTCAAGCTGTTTAGTTCAATTTAGACTTGGTTGTCTCTCTTCTGTTCAGTGCTTGCATCTGGGGACGGTTTCACCTGATGGTGCGCCCCTTCTGGTTTGTTGCCATTTTTTATATAGACCACCTGTGCATAGATTGAGCTGCCTGCGATTCTTTACTCCAGAGGCCACCTGACCTCCACCAGTGACGTGCACCTTCTTGCGTTGGTGGCTTTCTCTGGAGTGGCGTACATGTCACTGCTCAGGGTCTTAGGTTTAGGGGGATGACCCTTCCACTTTCACCTTCTTCCTATGTTTCTGCAGGCTGCCTAGCGGCCTCCTCCAGTTCTCACAGCCCCTGCCACTGAGCTGGTGGGAGCTGCGTCTGTGTCCCTGCCCTCAGTGGCCCTGTGGATCTGCCTACTCTTGCCTTTCACTATGCTCAGGGTTGTGTAGCCTTGCAGGTTTGGGGAGTTGAATTGTCCCGTTTCTTGGTTAATAGTAGTGGTTGGTTTTTTGTTTTGTTTTGTTTTGTTTTTCATCGCCTGTCATTGCACAGCAAAACTTTGTTCTAAATGTTTTGGAATCGGCATCTAAAGCTCACAGTAAGGCCTGGCGCCATCATCCATTCAGGGCGCAGTGAACTGTTCAGCATGGGGTCAGCGTGATGTCGACACGGGAGATGGCCATGGGGGTCTCCATGTAGCATGCTCAGCAGCAGTGAGGCTGTCTGGCCAAGCTGATAGCGCCTTCAGGATGCAGGCCACACCCTTGCATTGCTGCAGTCCTCTAGTGAATGCTGCAGGGCCATAACTAGTCCCAGGGTGGAGTGGGTCAGGGTCAGTCAAGTGGACTGCTGAACAGGAGGAGCTGCTCCTGGCCCAGCAAGGAGGGCGCTGTCAGTGTGGCTAAGCCCAGGTCTTGCTCAGGAGGGAGCTCAGGAAACGGGTGATAGGTAGGGGAAGGATCTCCTGATGACTGTCAGCTGGTCTGGTGTTGACGGGAGGGTTGAGGGTGCTGGCTGTGAGCAGCACCTTGCACTGTGCCTCCTCTTCATGGCTGTGGCCTCCTTTCAGGTTGGATCGGCAGACTCAGGCTACTACCCTGGTGCATCAGATCTTTGGTGGCCATCTCAGATCCCGAGGTAAGCCTATGTGTTCTCCACCCTGCCGAACAGCTCTGCATGTGGAGCTAGGAGGTCGTCAGCCCTCTCTGACAGATAGGCCATCCCCCTTGCCATGAGAACTTGAGCACATGGTGGGAGCTGGAAGGCACAGGCCCCATCTTTCTGCCTGGCTGTCCTCGCCACTGTAGGACTGTGCCCCGAGGGAGCTGAAGAAGCATGGATGTGAGGTGATTGTGGAGCTTTGAGAGCTCCTTGGTCCTCTGCATGAGGCCTGTGTTCTGCCGCTGCCAGAACCTTTCCCACTGGAAAGCAGTGGCCGGTCATGCAGGCCTGATGACACACCTGGCATGACCTGTGTCCGTGTCTCCAGTTGATGGGTCAGTCACTTTTTGTGAGAGCTGGGTTGAACATTCTAGACCTGTGGTTCAAGGTTTGGGGCTGGGTGATGCCCTTGGCTCACGATGCCCACTGCCTCTGTTCTGTTGCAGTGAAGTGCTCTGTGTGCAAGAGTGTCTCAGACACATATGATCCCTACTTGGACATAGCGCTGGAGATTCGGGTACGCCTGGGCAGTGGTCTGTGCTCCTGGGGGCAGCATGAAAGGGAGGGTGTAGGACTCAATAGTGAGAACTGTGAGTCAGAATAGACACCGAGGGCTGCTCGGCTCTCCTGCAGCCTGTTCGCTGCAGTGGTGCCTCTGCCGCACACAGCGTGGAGAAGCCAACATTTGCCTCTGTCTAGCCTTTTTCCTATGCAAATGCCTTTCAGTTACAGTAGAGCTGAGTTTTGCGTGGTCTGAGGCACGGTGACAGTGTGAAACACTGGGGCTTGCAGAGAAGGGTACCCTTTGGAACAGGCTCTGTCACTTCTCTGCTGTCAGCCTGCCCTTGCCTTTCCTGGGACCTTGAGTTTCTGAGCCAACCCAGCTGCAGTCACGGCACAAGTGCCTGACTCACGGGAAAGACCTCACATGGCTGTCACCTGTCACCTCTAAAGAAGGGCACTGTCTGCTCCTTTGGTGGGGTGGGGGTGGCTTAGCAGGCCAATTTTTATGCAAGTCAGGTTTTATCACTTGCTGCCTCAGCTTGAAAAAAAACTTAAATCTAGGACTTCTGGAGTCAGGCTTTTTTATCTGTTCATTCTGTTCCATTTTTGTCCTCCTCAGCAAGCTGCAAATATCGTGCGTGCTCTGGAACTTTTTGTGAAGCCAGATGCCCTGAGCGGAGAGAATGCTTATATGTGCGCTAAGTAAGTGTCCTCTGCTTGCAAGGAAGTGGTCATCCAGAACACCGTAAGTTCTGCCGACCCTCCTTCAGGGTGACCCCCAGCAGCCTGGGTGGCAGGAAGTGCTGAGGCCCATAGCTACTGCTCACAGCACCTGTCCCTGTGACGAAGGCTCTGCTTGTTGGAGAACAGTGTGTTCTCCTTGTTGTCTGGGGTAGAAACTGAGTCAGAGGCAAAGGGTCTGGCCTGACACACCGAGACCCCGCCCCCTGCTGTCTTCATCTTAAATGAGACTTGTCTGCAGCTCCTGCTTCTGTCTCAGCACAGACCGTTGTCCTTAGGAGGCACATCCTAGGTGGGTGTTGGCATGGAGGTCGTTTTAAAGCTGCACCACTAAGAGCACATCCACCCCACTTCGCAGCGTTCTCCTGCCACAGCACTGGTGGTTTGTGTTTGTTTTTTGTTTTGTTTTTGAGGTAGGGTCTCCCTGTGTAGCCCTGGCTGCCATCACACTCATAGATTGATCTGCCCTACCTCCTGGGTGCTGAGATTAAAGGCCAGCACAACTGCATTGGTCATTTGTTTTATTTTTGTTTTCTTTTGAGACAGGGTCTTGCCAAGTAGTCCTGGCACTCACTTATATAAACCAGGCTGGCCTTGAATTCACAGAGATCCTCCTGCCTCTGCCTCCCAACTGCTGGGATTAAAGGTGCAGACCACCACGACTACATTGGACTTTTGTTGTTGTTTTTATCCCTCTTTAAATTTGTTTCCCCTGGCTTGGGAGAGTTTGTCTCTTGTCTCAGCTTCTGCCCATTTCTTATCTGGCTCTGTGTGTATGACCACATCTTCCCCGTGTTACCCAAAGTCAGTCTTCTGCACCTGTCACATTGGCTCCTGGTTGAGGGCGTCATTTGCTTTGGGACTTCTGAATGTCTCTAGCCTTGGCTCCCTTCAGGTGCTCTCTTTACTTTGGAGCGGGTGGCTCGTGGGTTCCCGTGCCCATTGGTGCAAACTTCCTTTGTTAGTGCTGCAGGGTAGCACGCTGTAGAGCATGGCACTAGCTCTCCACTCGCTCCTGTAGGTGCAAGAAGAAGGTTCCAGCAAGCAAGCGCTTCACCGTCCACAGAGCGTCCAACGTCCTAACTCTGTCCCTCAAACGCTTTGCCAACTTCAGTGGCGGGAAGATCACCAAGGTGAGTGAACCCCGCCTGTTGAGACATCTCCACTGCTCTGTCACAAGAGCAGTCCTTGGGAATCTGCATTTCTTTCTTCCTTTTAAATTTTCTTTTCTTTTATGTGTGTAAGTGTTTTGCACGTTTATCTGTGCATTACTTTTAAACCTGCTTTCAGAGGCCAGAGAGAATATTAGATCCCCTGGAACTGGTTACAGACGGGAAGTGCTGAGAATTGAACCTGGGTCCTCTGCAACAGCAGCCACTGCTCTTAGCTCTCTCCACCCCCCCCCCTTAAAGACAGGGTTTTGAGAGAGGGTCTCTCTGTGTAGCCCTGGCTGTGTTGGAACTTGTTCTGTAGACCACGATGGTCTTGAATTTAGAGATTACCTGTCTCTGCCTCCCGAGTGCTGGGATTAAAGGTGTGCACCACCACTGCCCAGCTATATTTTTTTGTCCGTGTATACATCTGTGTGACTGTGTGCCATGTGTTTGCCAGAACCTGCACAGGCCAGAAGAGGGCGTCCTCTCCAAAGCTGGGATTTTCAGGTGCTTGTGAGTGCCTACCTGAGTTCTGAGAACTGAACTGGGTCTTTGGGAAGAGCAGCAAGTGCTGTTAACTCATTAACCACCTTTCTGACCCCACACATAATGCATTCTTATTGGTGTTCCTCTAGCTTTTGCCTACCTATTCTTGGGGTTCCTTTAAGAATAAGTGAGGTGAGGGCTGGAGAGATGACTCACCTGCTCTTCCAGAGGACGTAGGTTCAGTTCCCAGATGGCAGCTCACAACTGTCTGTAGCTCCTGTTCCAGGGAATATGACACCCTTATACAGACATACATGCAGGCAAAATAGCAATGTACATAAAAAATAACAACAAATTATTAAAAAAAAAAAAAAAAAAAAAAGAAGAAGAAGAAGAAGAAGCCAGGCAGTGGTGGCACACAGCTTTACTCCCCAGTGCTCAGACTGGTCAAAGCAAACCTTTCTAAGGACAATAACCCACATTCCCGAGTGGGTGCTACTTGCCTTTCTGTCTCTAAACAGGATGTCGGCTACCCCGAGTTCCTGAACATGCGTCCCTACATGTCGCAGAGCAGTGGTGACCCTGTCATGTATGGGCTCTATGCTGTCCTGGTGCACTCAGGCTACAGCTGCCACGCTGGACACTACTACTGCTACGTGAAGGTGAGTGGTGACCCGGCTGAGTGCTCAGCCGTGCGCAGGCAAGCGTGTGCTCCCTTCTGCTCTAGCAGAAGGGCTCACTCAGCAGGCGGATGTGGCCACGGTTGTCACAGGCAAGCCTCGCCCGCCGAGTTCCCCCAGGACACAAGGTGGAGGGGCAGAACTGACTCCCGCCGGCCATCCCCTGACCTCCACACGAGCGTGGTGGACATGCACATGCCTCCCCCCATAGATGGATAGATAGATGGATAGATAGATAGATGGATGGATGGATAGATAGATAGATAGATAGATAGCACATGCCTCCCTCCATAGATAGATGGATGGATGGATAGATAGATAGATAGATAGATAGATAGATAGATAGATAGATAAAAGATAGAAAGATAGGTAGGGATTGAGAGTTAGATAGGGAGATAGAGAGAGAGACAGATTGCACATGCCTCCCCCTTGATAGAGAAAGAGAGACAGATAAATGTAAATTGTGAAGGTTTGTTGTTTTTAATTTAGCGCTTTGGTAAACCATGCCTTTGTAACTTCAGTATTCTGGAATTGAGAATTTGAGCTCAGCTTGTGGCCCACTTCTTGATCGCTGTCTCTCTGCTATAAATATGTTGATATCTCTCCCTGCTGCTCAGGCCAGCAATGGACAATGGTACCAGATGAATGACTCCTTGGTCCATTCCAGCAATGTCAAGGTGGTTCTGAACCAGCAGGCCTACGTGCTCTTCTATCTGAGGTGAGGAACCCCCACGCCCCCTAGAACTGACTGTGCCGTGGAGAAAGCATGATCTTCCTGCCCGAGCCTGGGATTGTCCGAAGCCCTTTGCTGTCTCTGTGCTCCTGGGAATTTGCTGGAGGGGAAATACTTGGGCTCCGGTAAGGAGCTTGTCCTCTGGGAAGAGCCTTCCAGCCAAGCCCTCTGGAAGCCCAGTGTTGTTGTGGCCGGGAGTAAAGAGGTGGCGCTGAGGGGTAGGGCTCCGACTGCCTACAGCAGTGGGTGGGCAACTATTATGCTGTGGCCTTAGTGCAACCTTTGGCTTTGTGTGGCAAGCATTTCTCTGGTGAAGTGACACCGCACACTGACCAAATGGGCACGCCAGATCTTAGGGAGCCACCGACAGAGATCGTCTGTCCCTGAGGCATTCTTGTGACACGGTGCCCAGTCTTGGTCAGGCTTTGGCACTCTCTGGCTTGCTTGCTCCTTGAGGATGTGCTCTGGAAGGGCTCTGTGCACGCCCATGTCTGAGGCTTCTCTCCAGTATGTAGAAGGCAGAGGGTCAAGGCAGGGGTTCTGAGCCTGCCTGAGACACTAGGTCCTCGGATGCTCTTCTTTTCCTGGTCACTTAGAAACAAGCACAACCTGAGTTTCTATTACTCTGAGCTTGTTTGCATCACATTCTTGGCATAAGTGAAGAAATCCCCTGACTCCTTTCTTTCCTCTGCAGGATTCCAGGCTCTAAGAAAAGTCCTGAGGGCCCTGTCTCCAGGGTGGGCTCCACTCTTCCTAGCCGTCCCCATGTCATCCCAGATCACCCCAAGAAGAGCCCTGGCAATGGGGTCGTTTCCTCCCCGCTGATGGCAAAGGTACTGTGTAAGTGGAAGAGCTGGCCAGCCCACTCTTCTTCCAGCACTTCAGAATTACAGGCTCTCTGAGGACCTTGCCGTGTGGAGGAAGCTGTTGGCTGGCTACTATACCAACTGTATTTCTTAAGTTGGTCATCAGCTGTCTCGGAAAGGGAAGGGTAGGGCTGTGGGTGCTCAGGGCTCAGCCACTGCCCAGGAGAGCTGGACAAGCTTGGCAGGCTGACTGAGCAGGGGCTTCCAGGGAAACACCTCACTGTGTTAAAGCTAATGTCCTTGCTTTATTCAAGACCTGGTGTTTCTTTATAGTTCATTGGTGCTAGACACAGACATGCCTGTGAGTTAAAGGATGTGATGTCTGTAGTATAGGTAAATGATTCATAATAGAAACATGTATATGTATATATACACACATACATGCACAACAATAAACTCATCTGTGAACTTCTGGGTCTCTCCCCTAACTTCCCCAAAAAAGCTATACAGAGAAACCCTGTCTCAGAAAGAAGAAGTAAAATTAAAAAAAAAAAAAAAATTTGTGGTAGGGGCTGGGAGAGGTGTTGCCCAGTGGTCAGTGTGTGCTCAGCTTGTGAGGCCTGAGGTCCTAGCTCTGCTCATGTCTGTGCAAACAGAACATGCTCACCTCATGGTTACAAAGATGTGAGGCCTTAGAAAGCAGCTCCGCTTGTGTCTGTTCAAGCAAAGAACACACTGATGGTTACTGTGGAGGGCAAGGGATGACCCAGTGAGGACCACGGCAGTGTTTGGAAGTAGACATATGTTGCCAGTACAAGAGAAAATGCAGTTTGTCCACAGGAGTTGAAGTTAACGAGATAATCCACAGCCCAGGAATTGCGTTTTCAATAAATTGTTGGCAGGCCTGCTAAGTACAAACAAGACTGTAGTCTTTTTAAGTGCTGATTGTGTGAGACGTTGCATGAGCCACGAGGACCGTGGTACCTGAGGAGGAGATGCAGGTAGATGTGTTCAGGCAGGAGGTGGCCATCGGGAAAGGCTTACAGATAGTAGACTATAGAGTAGGTTATGTGTATATGGCCTTGGCTCAGGATGCAGAGGGCCAGCACATTTTTAGTTCATGGAGTAAAGGTGTATCAGAAAGCAGGTTTTGACTTGGAGAGTGCTGCACAGGGCAGGACCCCTTCTAGTGATGTATGTAGCTTCCTGGGAGACTGTTCAGTTCTTCAACCAGGGGTCGTAGGGGAGGCCCTTGGAAGTGAGCTGTTGTGCATTCTGCACCTCAGTTCTTTGAGATGGGCAGACGAAGACGTAGCCGAAGAAAATGGCTCCCTTTTAAAAAAAGATTTACTTATATTTTATGTATATGGGTGGTTTGTGGCCGTATCTGTCTGTACATGTACATGCAGTACCCACAGAGGCCAGAAGAGGGTGTTGCATTCCTCGGAACTGGAATTAGAGTTGGTTGTGAGCCGCCTGTGTATGCTTGGAACTGAACCCAGGTCTTCTGGAAGAGCAGCCAGTGTTCTTAACCACTAGGCCAAATTCCTCCCCCCACCCCAAGACTCATTCCCTCTGACTTACAGGAGTTTAAAACTTGCTTCTAAAATATCAAATGTATTTTGTTGGCAGATATAAAAGCTTAGAAAGAAGTTTGTGTTTTGTTATTGTTTGTTTCACTGCTGCAGCAGGTTTATGTAAACCATCAAGAGGCTCATGAGTGCTGGGGTGAGACTGTAAACAGGAAGGGAGTCCCCTGTGTGGAGGGCTTGAGACAGGTGTGAGGAGGCCTTCTGGGGACAGTGTTTACACGGTGGGCCTTGTGAGAGCCTCCCCTTGTGCATTCTCAAGTCCTGGTGAGACCCTGCCACCGATAGTAAGGGCGGTATTAAAGTGCAGCCTGCTTTTTGTTCAAGTCCCAGAGCCCCGAGAGTCTTCGCTGTTAGCCGGGTCCAGTTTGCTCCCAGTTCTCCTGCTGGGACAGCCTGTGTTGGCTCACCGTGTTCACTGGCCAGTGCTCCCCTGGGCTCTGATGACTTTCTGTCTTGGTCTTCTTTAGCGACAGGACTCTGTGATGATGAAGAAGCTGCAGGCCCCTGAGGAGGTGGGAGTGCCTGTGTCCAGGAACGGCTCTGTCCCTGGTCTGAAGTTACAGAACGGATGTGTTCCTGCAAAGACACCTGCCGGGTCCCCTTCCCCGAGACTCACCCCAACACCCACACACACGCCCACCATTCTGGACGAGCCTGGAAAGAAGGTGAAGAAGTCAGCCCCACAGCAGTCCCTGACTGCATCCCCGACCACTTCTCAGGGCTCTCCTGGGACCAGCGAATCCAAGAGCCAGCGGCCTGGTTCCTGGGCAAGCAGGGACACCATCTTCTCTACCTCACCAAAGCTCCTGGCCAAAGCCATTACTAATGGGCACAGGCTGAAGGGGGAAGGCAATGGTGTGGACCTGGAGAAGGCAGCCTCAAGCAGCTCGAGCCCCGAGCATTCTGCCAGCAGTGACCCTGCCAAGACCCCACAGACCCCAGAGGGCAGAGCTGTGCATTTCTGTGACTCTCAGGGAACAAACTGTCCCACCCCTGGCCATTCCAAAGCGCTGTTGAATGGGGTAGATCCCAAGATGGTGAAGCTGAAGTCGCCTGCCCTGAGCAGCACCACCGAGCCCACAAGCCTCATGTCTCCTCCACCAGCCAAAAAGCTGGCCCTGTCGGCCAAGAAGGTGGGTGTGTGGGGGTCTGTTCTCTGGAAGTGCCCTGGGACTGGACGAGTGAGGTCAGGAGGACAGGGAATCATGGTAGATGATGGCACTTCCGCGCCTTCAGAGGACCTATAGGCCTATTGGCGGGCCCAGCAGTGTGCAGGTTGCAAAAGGGCTGTTTAAGGTGGAGATGTTTTTGAGGAGACCCCAGTTATCTGGTCCCCTCAGGTTGCTGGTGGTCTAGGCTGAGAGAACTAACCAGTGTTCTATAGATGGAGTCTCCTAGTTGAGCCAAAGGAAGAGCTGTGGGCCAGCAGGCTGCTCTGAGCGGAAGGACAGCTGATCCTGCTGGAGGAGGGGAAGGGGAGGCTGGGGAGCCCCCACTCAGCTTGTGTGGGCAGTGAGTGATGTGTGGGAACTGTGCGGGCTAGTTGTTTAAATGTCTTTCCTTTTCCTTTTTATTTCTAACCAACAACATTCTCTGGTTCTTCTTCTGCCATCCCCTCTCTTCCACCCCCTCCCCTTTTTTATTCTGTCCCTTCATTCATCTTTCTGGGATCTTTTATTTTATTTTTATTTCTTTTTCAATTTTATTTTACCTCTTCACTCACGGAAACCTTTTTTAGACCACCAAGTTTTTATTTATGTCAATAACTGCAGGCCAGCACCCTACGGAGGGCGACCGGCAATGACATCCGCTCACCTCCCCCCTCAGCACTCTCCGACCTCACCTACCCCATGAAAGCCACCCACCCCGTCGTTGCCTCCACTGGGCCTGTCAGTAAAACCAGGTGAGCTTGGGCACACACTACTGGGTGCTGACTCCTGTCCTGCTGTGGTTACATGTATGTGGCTGGCGAAGATTAGAGAGCAGAGGCCCCTTTCCACCTCGTCTGGTAAAAGAGACTCAGCTGGGCAGAGCTGGTTCAGTCTTCCCGGGTCCAAGTCTGGCGTTTTCGCCTGCCTGCCACAGCACACTGTAACCTGGAGTGTTGTGCACTGTCCTGGCTGGTAGCCCCTTAGAAAGTCACAGGGTCCCCTGTGATCATGGGACCCCTGCAGTGACATCTTTCCTGCTAGGGTCATCCCTCAGCCCCTGGCTGCTGACTGCATGCCAGTCCTTGAAGAGGGAAACTAGGTTCTCAGGTGCTGTAGAATTCCTTAGGTTCTTTAACCTCATCTGTGGATGATCTTCCTGCCCCAGTGAGGTGCTAGAACCCGTGGTGCTTGTGTCCGTTAGGAGTGCTGACAAATCTGATACACGGTCATCTGCGCTCATGGGGACCCACATGCCTTGGCAGCTGGGAGATGAGACCTAAGAGAAAGTGAGAGTGAAGTTCTATGGCCCTCCTCCAGTCTCACTCTTACGTCAGCCTGTTCCACAATGCTCTGAGGGTGACATCTCCATTGCTGCCCACACCCAACGCATATATATGGTCCAGCATAACATTTGTGGGGTCTCCTTAAATGTTAACGTTCCCAAGTACTGAGACTTTGGGGGGAGTTGTTTCCTTGTGTTCTTTGTCTGAGGCGGGGTCTGACCACATAGACTACATATATAGTCTGAGGCTGGCTTCAGACTCGGATCCTCCGCCATCTGCCTCCTCAGTGCTGGGTTAAAGCTCCGCACCACCACACTTGGCATAAACTAGTATGTTCTAATTGTTTTTTAGATCTGTGTGTGACTGTTTTTCCTGCATGTATTCTGTGCACCATGTGTGTACCTGGTGCCCACAGAGGTCAAAAAAAGGGGAACTAGGCACAGGGGGATGTGAGCGTCCTTGTGAGGGCTGGAACCTGAATCAGGGTCCTCTGCAAGAGCAACAAGTGCTCTTAACTGCTGAGCCGTCTTTCTAGCTTCAATGTAATGTGTTTTGGGGTTTAAGGTTTTTTGTTTTTTTGTTTGTTTTTGTTTGTTTGCTTGCGTGCTTTTGGGTTTTCTGTGTAATCGCCCTGCCTGTCCTGGAACTTTATAGACCAGGATGGCCTTGAACTCAGAGATCCTGGAGTGCTGGGATTAAAGGTGGGTATCGATACGCCCGGCTACTGAGAATATTTTTTAAAGCTCTAGCAGACAGCACTCTAGAGTGACGCTAGTACAGGGGGCACAGCAAGTCTGTTTTGGTTTGGATGATGGCAAGGACGGTCTCCATGAATTCACTAAACCTTTGAGGTGACCACACAGGCATGCTTCGTGTGCTCATCCCTGCCTTACTCCTCTTATAGTATTTGCCTCTATGAAATTGGGTTCCCAGTCTGCACTCCCAGATTCACAGGAACATAGTCATGGATGATGTTTGGCTTGTTTCACTGTTCTTGGAGTGCTCAGTCCATGGGGACACTGTGGCCTCTGGCTAGTGGAAGATAAATCTGGACAGGGTGTTCTTTTGTTTCATTTTGTTTTGTTTTTGCTTAGTGATATTTCACCTCTTAACACATTTGAGTTGAAAACTGAAACATTAAGTTTTTAATGTTTTAACAAAAAACATTTTGTTTTTTGTGTTATTGTTTACTTTGTTTTGAAAGAAGGGTTTTTTGTTTTGGTTTTGAGACAGGGTCTTGCTTAATATAGCCCTGGCTGGCTTGGATGCCCAGATCCACCTGCCTCTGCCTCCCGAGGGCTGGGATTGAGGCCTGCTGGGTTTAGAAACGTTCCTTTTAGCCCAGGCGGGACTCAGATGCATGTTGGACAGCAACCTGAACCTCTGATTGTCCAGCCTCTATTTCCTTGTTCTGGGATCTCAAGCAAGTGCTGCCACACACATTTTTGTGCAGTGCCTGGGCCTTGTGCGTGTGAAACAGATGTTTCTTTGTGTTTGTTTTTTGTCTGTTTTAAGACAGGCTGTCATGTGGCTCGGGCTGGCCTTCAGTTCATTTAGTAGTCAAGGCTGGCCTTGAATGCCTAATTGTCTCACCTCCATCCCTCAAGTACTAGGATTGCGGGTATTTACCGTCACGCCTGAATAAGAAAAAACTGGAATTGATTGTCCTCTGATCTGTGCTGGATGGTAGCCCACTGGTACAGTGCTTCCTTGGCTGCCTAAGGTTTTCGGTTCAATTTTCAGCACTACTTAAAAAAAAAAAAAAAAAAAAAAAAGCCTCATTGAAAGACATATATTGCTTTTATTAACTCTGATTTTATGTAGACTGAATTTTATTAGCCCACCTTCAAAAAGCATGGAGTATGTGTGCGTCTAAGAATTACAGAGGAAAAGTAACCTTTTAAAATTTGATAGTGAGCTGGGAATGGTGGCACTCACCTTTAATCCCAGCACTTGGGAGGCAGAGGCAAGCAGGTCTGAGTTGGAGGCCAGCCTGGTCTACAGGGCAAAGTCCAGTCCAACCAGAGCTACACAGACCTTGTCTCAAACCCACCTCCCTACCCAACTTTCAGGTGTGGAGGGAGGCGGGGTGAGGCCAGCAGAAGAGTGGCTTTGATCAGTTCTTCACAATGACTCTCCCTGTGCCCATTGTCCACAGGGCTGTTGCACCTGCCCCCCAACCATCTGCCCTCCTGAAGCATCCTGTCAGCCCCCACTCTGCATCACTGTCCAGTAGTAGCGCCAAGCCCTTAGGGACATCCGAGCCACAGAGCGGCTGCTCCTCTGCCTGGACCCCCCTGCCTCAGGTCAATGGACACTTCATGCCCCGGTTACACCAGCTGCCAGAGGCCAGCCAGGCCCTGCACAGCCTCTCCAAAAAGAGGAAAAAGACCCCCGATGGAGATCTCCAGAGACTGGGCACAGACACGCACCTCCCACAGTGCCCCAGGGGAGCCCCTACAGCAGCACGCAGGAAGAGAAGAAAGAAGAAGTGCCTGGAGGACATGGCTGCCACAGCTCCCCAGCAGAAAGGTCAGCCGCAGGACCAGCCTGGGAGTGCCAGGGGCCGGAAGGAAGAGGGCACACAGCCCCAGGTAAATGGCCATCAACTGAGTCACATCCTGGACAGTCACCATGTGAGCAGCAGGAAGAGGAGGAAGAGGAAGAGATCAGAAGGACTCAGCCAGGAAGCCACCCTGTCCCAGGCCCTGCTACAGCATGGGTAAGGGCTTGGATGCGCCTGTGGCCTTCCCAAGTGGTGTGGGAATAGAGCTGGCCTGGACGTGTGGAATGTGTCAGTGGGTGCCAGTTTCCTTCAGCGGTGGAAGAGGACATCCACAGCTAGGCCATGGCCATCACTGCATAAGGAAGGCCAAGCACATGGGGCCAGGGATCCCCAGGCCAGGCTGTGTGAGGAGGTGTAGTTGCAGCAGCGTAAAGTGTGGTGTACCTGGCTGGGAAGAGCAAGAGGGACCATGTAGTATCTCTAGCGTCGTGCTGAGTGAGTCACTGTGGACAGCAAGCTTCACACAGCACAGCCAGCTCCTCAGCTCAGTGTGGAACGAGTCACTCACACGGGGCTGCCAGCGGTCCTCAGGAATGTTGAGGCACAGCTTTGGTTTTGTATTTATTTGTTTGCTTATATATATTGCTGTGAGGGTGTCACATCCCTGGAACTGGAGTTATAGGTAGTTGTGTACTTCCACATGGGTGCTGGGAGTTGAACCAAGGTCTTCTGGAAGAACAGCCAGCTCTTAACTACTAACCCATCTCTCCAGCCCTATTTAGTTGTTTTTTTTTTTTCTTTCAATTTTTTTTTTAATTTTAATTTGTGTGTGTGTGTGTATACATGCATTTGTGTGTAAGTCAGAAGACAACTTGTAGGTAGGTCTTAATTCCCTCCTTCCACCATGTATATTCTAGGGATCAAACTCAAGTTATCAGCCTTGATGGCACTTTTACCCACTGAGCCATGTCAAAAAAATTTTTTTAATAATTATTTGTTTGTGTGTGTGCATGTGAGCATGGTTGTATAACATGGGTCATATGGAGTGGATAACTTGAGAGAGTAGTGATCAAACTCAGGTCAGCAGGCTTGTTGCCAAGTGCCTTTAATAGCTGGGCTGTCTCATAGGCTTGTGGCTAGAGCCCCAGCCTTGCCTGTGGTGTCTGTGCAAGGCTAACTGGCTCCCTCCCCTGGTTCCCCACAGCTGCTCTCCTGCAGACCACTGTGAGCCCGAGGCCAGGACAGAGTTGCAGAGAAAGAAGAAAAGAAAAAGAAAGCATGAGACACCACAGGAGGAAGAAGAAAATGAGCACCCGGAAAGCCGTTGGAGTCTGAGGCCCAGTGTCACCCCAGTCCCTGAACTGAGCATGAATGGTCATCCTTCTGGTGACCGCCTGGGTGAGGACTCCTGCTGACAACCACAGTGGTGCTACTTGCTGTTCCTCATGGCAGGCCACTGGGAACACTAGCCACAAACACCTGAGATGTAGTTGGGCATAGTGGCAAGAGCCCAGGAGGAGGGCAGGCAGGCAGGCGGGGCTCCAGTCTAGGAGCCAGACACCTCGCACTTCTGGGCCTGTGGGGCAGCTCATCACAATGGCACACACAGGGAAAAGTGCTCACGGACGGTTTGGAGGCCAGAGAGAGCCGAAGGGCGGCCTTGGTCCTGCTCTTCGCCGGGAGGGTGAGCACCCAGTGACCTGAAGACCTCCAGCAATGCCTGCCTTCTAGAGTCTAGGCCTTCAGAGCTTGGGCCTGTAGGGGACTTTGTTCTTTTCTCATGAGTGGACAAGACTATCGCTAGAAATCAAGTACCTGGGGTGCCATTACCAGGATGTGTGATTGTTTCTTCAGTGGTCTGATTTTAGCTTGTCCTCTGCCTACAGGGCTGGTGCCAGCGCCTCTTGTCGCCTGGAACAGAGATAAAGAACCCGATGTGGTCCAGGAGTTGCTCCGGGACTCATCTGATAAAGCTTATGGGAAAAAAGGTGTGGATCTGAGGCAGGGCTTGCACTTCCAAGAGAGTGGGTCGTGGAAGGAAGTGGGTCCTAGTGTGTTGTGAGATGTGGGAGACTGCACTGCCTGGGCTTAAAACTCAAACTGATGTTGAATATGCTGTAACCTGGCCCCTACTGTGCCACAAAGGCAGGTTGTGTTCACAAATAAAATAAAATCAAGAGCAGGACAAAGTGGGGAGCACAAACCCCAGGCCAGCTGAGCAGAGTATCCGGTCCCCAGGACAGAAGCGCAGGGTGCCAAAGCCCCGGCAGCACTATTAGCGGTCCTGCTGCTGGCCGTGTTCACAGGCAGACTTGGAGCATGAACAAAGACGCTCTTTGTCTGACGTGAGAGCAGGTTACAGAGGGTTTGCAGTGGAATGGGAGCACACGGTAGTCACCCCCTCGGGTTGTGTGTCCCCTTTCGGGTTTGACTGTTTCTCAGGAGTTAAGAGTGGCCGGGCCCTGAGAAGAGTCTGCAGGGTGACTGTTTCTCAGTAGTTAGAATAGCTAGGCCCTGAGAAGAGTCTGCAGGGTGACCGGGCCCACAGGCACTGACAGGTGTCTTGTACAGTTTTGACCTGGGAAGGTGAGCCTTCAGCCGTCAGTCAGGACGCCATCAAAGACAGCAGACTGGCCCGGATGCACACCGTGGTGGACGACTGGGACGAAGAGTTTGATCGAGGGAAGGTACAGTGGTGGCTGCGACCATAGGCTCGGGGCAGCGGGTGCCTGTCAGCATGAGCTCTGACAGCAGTTCCTAGTGCAGTCATGCTCAGGGCGGCTGAGGCCAGCTGGAGTCAGCCTTCTGGGCTCCCTCCCTGCTGGGCTGTTTCTCCTTGTGCACCTGGTACCCTGGGCAGCCATGGGAGTGGGGCTGGGGGAGCCGTGGGTGCCATCTGTGGCATGGCAACTGCGTCTGTGTCTAGGAGGCACATGCCATGTGTGCAGGGAGAGCCCTCTGAGGCCTGGAGGAGCCCTCTCTGGGTACTATGACACTGTGATTCTTGATGTAGGAGAAGAAAATTAAGAAGTTCAAGAGAGAAAAGAAGAGAAACTTCAATGCCTTCCAGAAGCTTCAGAGTAGACGGAACTTTTGGTCTGTGACTCATCCCGCTAAGGTCACCAGCCTCAGCTATCGTCGCTGAGCTTG